GTGCATGTGTGTGGTCACATGATTCAGGTGGACTCAGGACTTCACAGTCTGTTCCAGGACACTCTGGCCGAAACAAGGGAATTTAAATTGGTGCTGGGCTCGTGGTCTTTCTTCAGCCACAAGCTGCTGACAAGGAGGCACAGGTCACCTCCTGCCACTTTGGCAAGAAGTCGCTGGTCCACCGTCCCGGAGAAGCTCTTGGTCTCTCCATCTCTGCTGTCACCCGCACACACACACCCTGTCAGCGTATTGCTGTGGACATACGCGGTCCAACACGCACTGGCCAGTCTGCAGGGTGCCCAGTAGATAGTAACTCCATGGCCACCTGTGACATCCTGCTCACCATTCACTTAGAAGGAGCCACGGGCCTGAGCCTGGGCCCAAAGAGTTAACACGGCGCGTGGTCGGCAAAGCAGTGGAGGCCTCCACTGATGCCCTAGGGCCTTGGACAGCTTGCATGGCCTCCACGGCCTCTAGTATGCTCGTGTTTATAGTGACAACCTTAGACTTGAGCGAGGCCTCTCTGGGGTTGTGTACCCCCAAGGGCCCCAATGGAGGAGTGGGGGGGGTCTGCCGGCAATCTAAAAAATTCAAAACCTAAAGGAACCCGTGCCCTTTCTCACACTGAAGCGCAGCACCCTGATGGAAATGTTCAGGCATTGTTGCCTTGGGCTCCAGGGATTGTCAGTGCAGCCGTGTGACATCGTTCAGCTCACGAGGGGCAGGTGCTCCGAGTGGCTGTCGATGACGTGAAACACTTGCATAGGACGTGTGACTAGCAGACCAGTCACTGACTCCTGTCACATTTCAAGTAATCACAGTCCCTCAACCAAAAGTGTCCCCTCGGTGAGCAACCTCGGGCAGAGCACAGAGTAGCAGCCCAAATGAAGACCGGAGGTGTCCGCCTGCGTCCTTAACTTTAGGACTTACAGCCGGAACTGAGCGTTTTATGGGATTTCATACTGTGGTGGCACTGTGTGCCCTTGGTACTTCTGGATGGCTGGTTAAAATCTATCCATGATGAAAAGGCAATAAAAAGAGCCAAGAGCGGTGGCCTATGTAATTACTAAATAACTCCAGTTCATACGGTTGGCAGAGCTTTTCAGAACTTGAAGACCAAGGGGAAGTTCTGAGAAAATGCCGCCTGGTGGACCGGGTTGGGAGCTACCGTTCTCCATCAGAGCCCCGGGGCTCTCCGGCCCGTCACAGGGGGATGGGAATGCGGGGTGTGGGCCAGCACTGCGCATCCCCATGCCCTACGCTGCAAAAAGCAGTTCTTGGACTTCACTTTTTTGTTTATGTTTCTATGTAGTTTCATTTGAATGCAGAATTCCACTTCAGTTCTCTTCCACACCGAATACCTTCCAGCGTAATTAATGTTCTATATTTTGGGGAGTTCGATGATGAGCTCCAGATGCAATATTTTCGATAACAGTATTGAAAGTTCAATATTCAGAGGAAATTTATAGCCTCAAGGAGAAGCCACTCCCGGAGCCAGGCTGGCGTAGGGCATGGGTTTCAGTTCCTGCCGCCACCAGCAGCCTGCTCCTAATCGTCGTAGATTATTGGATGAAGTTAGAGCTGCTCCGGTGGCCTCTGAGGGTCTCGCGCCAGTTTCCCTTTGCATCCTGACCCAATCTTGTGACTCCTTCACACAGTTCCTCATCACCTGATGAAGCCCGAGGCCTCTGTCCAGGCACAACATCAAAGTGCTCCTGCGATCCCTCTTGCCGTCACCAGGTAAGGAGCCAGGAGCACCTTGTGGGGTCCCAGCTCGGGGGTCATGTAGGATACTGACCCTCCAAAGCTTCCTGAGAAAGGGGAAGTCCTGGGCCTTTGATAAGGAGGCCTGGACCACAGCTGTCATTGAAGCTAATGGCGCCATTTCTTCCTGTGCTTTGTACTTCCTGAGCGAGGACTAGAGAAGTGCAGGGGATTCGAAGACCTGAATGTTAACCAGATCAGATTAACTGGGACAGATGCCAACTAATCGGGGAAGAAAAGTTGGCCTCTCTAACTAGACTCCATTGAGGACCACACGGAAACTTAGTTTCGAATTTCACTTTACACATGGCCATGAGTTAAAACTGTCATTATCTGATTAAATACTTTCTTGATCAGGTTATTGTGACAACTCTTGTCCCAACTAAAGAGTCGAGGAAGCAAAGGCTCGGGCTGTAAACCACTGTGAATTAGTGTGGCTTCCTTAAAACAGAATCCAGAGCCTCTAAATTAGTGCTCTAAAGCCTATGACCTAGGTCTGACCAGTGGCTTCAGCCTTCGTTCATGCCACTCACCCACCTTCCATTCGCCATTGTCAGCTACCACAGGACATTTGCACACACTATTTCCCTGCCTATAACACTCCCCTCCATTACTCCCCCTCTCCACTCTCTCCATACTTGGAAAACTTCTCTGCATTCTTCAGACCCCAGCTTAAAGCCACCGAATCCAGAAGATAGTTCTGACCCATTCCCCAGAGGGAATAAATGAGGCCCAGACAGACCAAGGCCCTTACCATTGAAGTCAAATTCAACTTCACTTGTCAGCAGCCCACAGCGTCTATATTGACGATTCTAAAACTGCAGCCCATGAATCCCAGCTTTCCCAGGAGCCTGCCCAGGGTGAAAATGCTGCCAATATTTACCTAATGAATACTTACAGGGAGTACACCCTGCCTGTGGAGGAACAGAGCGGTGGTTAGGAGGAATCCACTGGGATGGCACTGCCTGGCTTCGCCACCAGCGAACCGGTGACGCTGGGCAGCATCACTCATCTCACACACGAGGCTGAGGGCAGAGCCAGGCCCGTTGCAAGTGCCCAGTACGTGTGAGCTCTCCTCGCCATGGCCATGCCCTGTCCCTCAGGGTGGCGGCCACCCCCACTCCCTGCCCCCTCACTTTCCTGCCTTGTCCTATTTCCCACCTTCAGTAACTTTGGTCTTAGTCTTTGGCCTGCGGGTGTTAGTGTTAGGACTCTGGCTTCATAATTCTCGAGAGGCTCTTTTCTGTTTAGGGCCAATCTGACACAAATTCTTGCATGTAGCACAATATAATACCCTTTCTTAATGTAATTTTCCAAGCGGAAAATAAAACCATCACATTGGTTTTATTTTTGTGCAAAGATAATGAGCTCTTAGTCACGCCCACATTTGTAGTAGTTATTGGCTGTGGTTTGGCTTCATTTGTTTGTTTGTTTAATTTACTGAACAGTCTCCTGATTTTTCTTCCTCCATTAACTGGCTGCTTCTGGGCTCCCTTCTGGGCTTTTTCCCAAGCTGACCTCTAAGTGCTGGTATCCTCAGGGTTCCTCTGAGGTCCTGGTTTCTCCCTCTGAGAGCCTGGGCAGTTTCACCCACCCCACAGTGGCGAACGTCAGCCTGTGCCCGTAATTCCTAAACCTCTATCTTCAGCCGAAACCACGCTTCTTAGCTCAGACCCAATGGGCAGTTTTCTTTAAATAGGTGACAGGCGTCTCAAACTCATAGTGTTGAGGCTGAGCTCCTCATTTCTACTTTCATTCCCAAACCACCTCTTCCCTCCTACAAACTTTCTCACCCCAGTAAACGGTGCGTTCTCTCCCTCACCTTCACTCTTCCCATCCAACCCATTTCCACCTCCCAATTCTATCTCCAAAACATGTCTTAAATCTACCCATTTCTCCCCATTTCCCCGCCTCCCAACACGGACCAGCCACCATCGATCTCGCCTGGACTGTTGCAGTAGCCTTTCAATGATACTTAGCATCTCCACGCCTTACCTTCTGTCCAGAAGGAACTGCTTTCTAGTCTGTTGCAGAATAAGCCATGTTTTCTTGCCTCTGAGCCTTTGCACCTGCTGTTCCCTCTGCCTGGAACACACGCTCACACATCACCACCTCCTATTCACCTTTCAGGGCTCAGCCCAGTTAGCACTCCCCCCAGGAAGCCTTTCCCGAGATCCCAAGGGATTTTGGAGTTCGTGTGGGTTAAGTGACCCGCAGCTCCCGCAGGAACTCCTGCTGTGCACACACCTGTCGTGGCACTTGCCCCGCATTGTGATTGTGATACAACGTCTTCTCCCCATAAACGGATCTGCTCTGGGACAGAGGCCTTGTCGTACTCACATTATAGTCCCTGAAACATGCCACACACCCAGTAAGTACTCGACACACGTTGGCAAAATGGAAGAATCATTACTTTTATTTTTGTTTGTTCTGTGTTTGTTCCCTCACTTTAATCCTTATAAACTCCGTACTCGAGACCTAAAATATCCTCAGAGGATGTTTCTGGTCTCTCAAAATTTTTTTTTAAAAAGTCCTAAAAAATTAAGGCAGAGACATTTTGCTGTAGATGATTTTTCCCCAGACATTTATCAAAATTGTACGCTGGCTCCCGGTGCGGGACTCCTGGTGTTGACTGAGGCAGTGTCTTGGGTGTCAGTCGGGTTACAGCAAGTGCGGTGCCTGCGTAACCTGCCAGCATTTTTATCTAGAAGCACCCGTAAGACCCCGGTTCCCACGAGATAGCAAAGGCCAGGTGCACGCTCGGGCGCGTCCGTGGCTGGAGGAGGGCTCGGTTTCATTTCACTGGCCCGGAGGCTTTAGTCCATGGCACAGTTGCTGGTGTGGAGCGGGTGCCACATAATTAGATTTAACTAGTCGCGCCCGGCGCTCAGGGAGACGCTGCTGGGCCACAACGCAACGCGAACCGGGGGAGCAGCGCTAAGGGTCGATAGAGCTGAGCACTCGGCAAAGCGCTAACCAGAGCCAGCGGTGAGCGGTCCCGGTGACATCATTACTACTGTGCTTAGACATGCATGTTGGCTTTTCATTGTCTTTTATTATATTTTTTATAATCCCTTTTCTCTATGGATTTTCTTACGGTTTTCTCACCTGGCTCATGTTTCAAGAAGGAATACATTACTTTCCATACTCTCAGCTGGTAAATAATCACTATGGAACAGGAGCCCTACCAGCACGTAGCGTTTTCTAAGTGACGGTGGTTGGGAGGCAAGTCTCTAAATCCACGTCATCTAAACATAAAGAATCACGATTAGTGCTCATTGAAATGACACGAAAGAACTCATACGGGTCACTTGTTCCATATCTAATGTTTGCCTGTCGGGAAAGGGAGAAGAGCCAGCCTCCTACTGCCTTAGGAAACAGAGGCTTCTGCTCGCTCATCCAGTACAATACAAAGCTCTTCACATGCGACTTGGGCCACTGTCATTGGCCTTGCCGTTGAGTGGAATCCTACCCAGCATGGGAAATACTTACATCCTTTCCTTTCTAATGTCTTCTTTAGCTCTTCGTTCATGATGAGCAGCCACAGGGTGCAAAGCAGAGGTAAGAACACTTTGCCTGATAATGGTAATAAACAGGTAAGTCGTCACACTACAATATCCCTGCGCCGTGACTGTTTTGGGAGCCTCAGCATTGCAGAGCTGATGCGTATAAATGTCATTAGCTTGTGTCCATTGACAGGTAGCATTCCACTGTGTTAATAAATTTTACCCATAATTAAGTAAGATCACTTAGGTGTTTCCATTTTCCCTCTTTTGAGCTGATGTTATGAACAACATGACTGATGTCTTCCCACATCCGTAATAGGTACGTATTTTCCATGTACAAACTCTTCAGTTCTCTAAGTGAAGTTTATAGGCCTTAGGATGCTCCTCTCTTCTCTTGTACTAGATGGATTTTCCCAAGTAGGTGCATCCTTCAGTCTCACTGACAGCTTATGGGTCCCCAGTGTGCCCCATCCTCTCCTGCAGTTGTTTGTGACAAAACTTTAAGTTTTTGACAATCCATTGGGTATAAAACAGATTTCCCTTAAGAAAATCTGAGAAATGGAGAAAATAAAACCGACCTCTCTGATTTATTGTAAAGGTAAAAATCAGGAGGCGATTGTGTCTGCGGCGAGATCTGAAGTACGATATATAGTGATTGCTGTGGGTGATGGGTTTTGACATTACTAGGATTATTTTGCCCAAACTAGATGTGTCCCGTTGTTTTGTCTATTTTTTCTTCTCCCTAAATGCCAGGGAGATCTGTGATTAGGTCTAATCTGGCGGTCCCCCTCTCTGCTGAGCCATGAGAAGGGGCTGAGACCCGGAGGAAGCAGGCCCCATGGACACCGTGGGAGGGATGAGCGAGCGCGCCACTGACCAGGGTCCCTGCTCCGCCTCTCTCCCCACAGTGGCGTCAGTCCCCCATCCATGAAATTTAAATAATGATGTTAACTCGCAGAGTTAATACACACACAGCCCTCTGCCAGACACACAGTAGACAACGGACACATTTTAGTATTTCTCCTTTTGCTCTTCATCCCCTTCCCTTCTCCAGGGATCCCCCACCCAGTTGATTCCCTTGGACCACGACTTTCCTCCCTGGCCTCCATCAGTCATTTCTCGTCTGCCCTATGCATCTGGGCCTTATGTTGGAAAACCAATAGAGAAAACTCCTTTCTCCTGATGGACACACTGCTAATAAGAGTTTCCCCAGAGAGGACTTTTTTTTTTTTAAAGGAAGGTGGCTAACGGGGGCAGTGATTTACCACATGGGCTCAACCCCTTGGAATCAAATGACAGTTGTCCTGGAGGCCAGATGGCTGTGTATGAAGATAAGGCTCTGCATCCAGGTGGAAGGTCCAGGGGCTGAACGGGCCCAGGAAGGGCATTACTCATGGGGTTTTGAGAGTATGTTGCAAGGACGGGGAAGCAGAATCATAGCTTAAAGAGGAATCCGGAGTTTTAACTTGAAAGGCAGAATCTTGCACAAATAAAAAAAAATAAAAATAAAATAGAGAGCGATTGAAGAATGGAACAGTAGTTAGTGACGTGGATGCCTTCACAGGCCTGAGTCCAGCCGGCACCCTCGGGCTGGGCGGAGATCATTTGTGCTGGGCTCCGGCAGCTTGTTCTCTGTGAGTCTCATAGGAAAGCAGGTGCTCAGACAGCCTGGGGTGGACAGGGGAAAGGTGTCGGCCTTCAGCACCATTAATTCCTCTTTTAGTCAACAAATATCCACCAAGCATATGATTTGTACCTAAAATTGTTTCCCAAGAGAAACAATTGAGAATCTTTGGGCCCCAAGAATGCAAGAGAGAGAAGCCCGTCCTTCGACCAGTGTTGAAGCGCCTGCCATGCCCTCCACCGACTCAGGGCCGCGGTCACCCTGCCGGGCAGCCTCCGCGCCCGGATCACAGAGCTCGGGGGGAACGAGGCGCGGGCTCTGCGCGAGTCGGTCCGTGGGCTCTCCACGGCTCGCGGGCCCAGTCCGAGCGCCGCAGGGGAGGGCGGCGGTCTTCACGCAGAATCGTGAAATCCCACCTGCACCGTGAGACTTCCACCTTTATTCCACACGTGAGAAGGGTTTGGGACTGCTCAGTTACCCTTGAGAGTTCAGGTACTCTCTGATAAACAGCCCCGCTCAAGTCTCTGACACATGAATTCAAGCTAAGCTCTTGGGAGCCTAAGCAGGCGAATCTCGGGACAAAAACAGATTTTGAGATAATAGAAGAGGACCTCAGTTGTTTGGGTCACACTCCAAAACAGCAACGTCGCTCTCCAAGTTTGGAATTGTGGATGATTTGTTTTCTTTTTGTGTTCAGTTTTTGTCCACTAATGTTTGTCCACTTCATTTCATTCCTTAAACTATATGGCTTTTTTTTCTTATAAGGTGATTTTTAAATTGTATGTAATGGTAAGTTAAAATTTGCTAATAAACATGGATGGATGCTTGGTTAAAATAAAATGCTTTTCTTTTAAGTTACAAAAGACCTAGAGCTATGTGCTCCCAATAATGTTAACATCAGCAGTAGCATTTATTGAGCTACTAATATGGGCCAGGCACTGTGCTAAGAGCTTTATATACATAAGAACTTTGAGATATTAGTGATTACTGATAACAGCATGATTTTGCAACCCATACCATTTTAATTCAGCTACCCTGCCTCAAATTTCATTGGCCACCTACATGTCCTCCCAGTGTTCTACTTACCCTGAATCAAGCTCTTCCCTTCTGTGGCCTTCCCTCCTCCAAGTAGGAAAGGCCTATGTCATGGGGTATAAAACGCACATGCAGTGTTTTATGTAAAGAAAACTCTCCAGAGATTAGTTGTCATGATTTTAGAACAAAATCAATCAATCAGTTGTAGTGGATTATAAGCTCAGGATTTTATTTATTTATTAAATGAAGACCCAGCCAGGCCTTCAGGGAAAACTGCATGGCCAAGTTGGGCTTTTGTTTGTTTCCTTTCGTTTAACTCATTCTGAATACACTTCGAATGCATATAGCTGCTTCCCAACGCTCTTCTTCAAGCAGGACTTTTTAAATATTCAAGCAAGGCACTCAGAGCTAAATCTAATAAATCGGTTGCCCCAATATAATGAAAAATTCATAATCACGGAAGACTATTACATACACTACACAACTGATAGGAAATGCTGATCAGGGTTATTTTCTTCTCTCAAGAATGTTCTTATTGTTTCAATCCGTGTTGAAAGATAGTTGTGGCCATTCCAGTAATAAGCCTCTATGTCTTGTTTCACTGTATTTTAAATAAATTTTTAAAGTCTTTTTTTTAATATTACCATAGCTCTTTTAGCTTTCTCTTGGTTAGGATTCGCCTGGTATATAATTCTCCATCGTCTCATTAGTGAGCTGTGTCATTACATTTTAGATGTGTAATTAGCCCATAACTGGCATGTTTAAACCAATCTGCATCGAATTTTGTTTTCTGGGATTTTTTAAACATTTTTTTTAAATGTCCTATTACAGTTTATATTTAATATTGTTTTGTATTAGCTTCAGGTGCGCAGCATAATGCTTTGCATCTGATCTGTTGTGTTGCTGTGGGAGGAAGTCAATCTGACGCAGTCACAAAATCCTATTTCAATGTGCTTTTCCTTTTCCCAGATCATAAAGAAAGCCTGCAGTCCCACCCGCCTCAGACATGTCCGTCTCCGGCCAGCTTCGACCCTCGGGAGAATTCTCACTATAAAAACATGAGCGAGAGAACACCTGGCCCCCCGAGGGCGGATGGAGAGGTAGGCACGTCTCTGCACTGCCCTTCTGGCTAAACTTGGCATCTCACTACAGCTCACCTGAATGTGGCCTCACAGGGGCATCACGGTTGACTTTCACTCTTCCTCAATATCACTGGGTTTTAATATTTTAAAGTGTTTTTCTGGATAACGTTTTACAGTGCTCTTTCACCAGATTCTTTAACTTGTATGCAGCTGTCCCCCCTATTCACAGGGGTTGTGTTCCAAGCCCCCCGGTGGATGCCCGAAACCACAGAGTGCCGAGCCCTATACTTACCATGTTGTTTCCCATACGTGCACACCCCTATGATAAAGCTTCATTATAAATTAGGCAGGATTAACAGCAACTAATGGTAAAATAGAACAATTATAACAACATACTATAATAAAAAGTAAAGGGCTTTATTCCAAAGGGCACTTCCAGTAAGAGAGGAGTTTGATCCCAATCTTGAAGAGAATGTCAGACTGGGAAGGAGGAAAGGTGAGGATAGGAGGGGCTCCCGGCAGTAGGGCCGGCTCATGCCAAGCCCTGAAGCCATGTGTCCACAGAGCGGCAGGCACATTCTGCTGGCCAGACTCTTGTGCCCAGGCTGGGGTGGCAGGAAGTGAGGTCATGGAGTTAGGGGGAGCTGGCTCATGGAGCTCACACATGCCTGTCCTTGGAAAGATCAGGTTTGTGTTGGGAGGACCAGAGACTCAGACTGACAGACCAAAGACCCGATGTCACATCCCTAGCACTTGCGAACCAGGTGACAGGTGTTGACTTCCTGAGCCTCCCCCTGGCCCCCATCCTGACATGCCCACCTGCCAGGGCTGTTGCAGGGATGGACTGGGACAGTGGGCAAGGAGGGCCTCCGACGTGGTGGGCTCAGGCAGGGGCTCGCTGAATTTTAGAATCCTTGGAACTGCAGGTCGTGGTGCATCTCTGATTGCGACTGCCCTGTCTTCTCTCTGTTACGGTGGATTTTACAAACCAAAGAAGTCAATTGTTATAAGAGAGCAAGGCACAGGGCACAAGCCAGACAGACTACGGTTCAAATCGCAGTTCCACTGCATGTGGCTTTAGGCAAGTGGCCGAAAGGTGCTCTCAGGCCACCTCTCTTGCCCTCCCCTGCTGCTGTGATGGTGACGAGGGCAGCTCACGCTCCACAATCAATCAACACCCCATCTCAGTGAGCCCGGGCAGATGGAGCCCGTGAGAGCTGGAGGGTTAGCTGGAGNGTGAGCCCGGGCAGACGGAGCCGTGAGAGCTGGAGGGTTAGCTGAGGGTTAGGGCCTTCCTCAGTAGGTGGAGTGGGGGTTCTCGTTGCTGTCGTGACAGTTCCCTAATTCCTGAGCTGCAGTTACTTCTCCTGTGCCCAGACCCAGGGACAGAATTTCTGTGCTCTACTTCTACTGTCAATCAAACTGATTTGGCACTGGGGGAGCAAAAGCGCATTTTCAGTAATTAGTAAATAATTCATTCCTGAACGTTCGTCATTTACCGTCCCGCAGGACGCCCAGCCCCACGACTGGTACGTCGGGGAGTACAGCCGCCAAGCGGTGGAAGAGGCCTTGATAAAGGAGGGCAAGGTAAGGCCTCCGGGGCCCGTCAGCTTACGGCTTCCTGCCCACAGGCCGGGGCCACAAGTCCACTTCTGCCTTCTGTCCCCCCAAAACAGTGAGAAAGCAAAATCTCGGTTGAATGACTTCATATTTTCCTTTTCTATTAGTCTCACTTGTGTCAAAAAGTGTTTCCCATTTACAAAGATAATTTACTTTAAATTGCAGGAGTCCCCAGATTCACTGTGACAAACTCACTGCACAGTTTAAGGTGATAAACCCAGAAACTGGTCACACATCTTGGCCTCCTGTCCCATTTGATCTTTGGCCATGTTCTGTGCTTGAGTCTTAAGGCTTCAATTACTGTTGAATGTTTTAGGAAAATAAGTTCCAAAAAATTTGCCCATCCCACTTGATGTTCTCAGAGGCTGGTATATTTACAGAGCAAGAAATCGGGCTTGACTTTTAGGTTTTCCTTTGACGAGTTATGATGTTTTAGGAGATTCACTTAAACTCTTGGATCCGAATTCCTTCACCTGTAAAATGGGGATAAAGCAGCTCCAAGTTTTATGTAAAGATTAAATAAAATAATGTGTGTAGAGTGCTTGATACCTTGAGGGCAATTCTCAATAAACCTTAGCTGCCAGCATCGTCAGAACATCACTATAGTTTTATAGTGGTAGTTGTAAATTTCATATTTTTAAAGTATTATTACAGAGCAGTGATTTTCAACTGGTGTGCCCCAAGAATTTTTAAAACATGCAATACCTGACTCTTTAGTCAGGGGCGCTGACCTCTTTTCCCTGATTGTCAAATAAAAAATGACAACAGCCAACACAATAGCCATCCTGTGTGAGTGAATCAAAATTATACCTTTTTTTTTCCAAATCGGTAATATATATATTTTCTGGTGTGCCGCAGAATTTTAGCAATTAGTTTATGTGCCATGAGATGAAAAAGGTTTGAAATCACTGTTATGTAGTATTATAGGCATCATGTAAATCTATATCTGTATTACAAAGATTAATCACACATAATATATATTGTAATTACACATAAATACATACATATTAAATATAATCTAGAGAGAGAGAGATATACATATAACAATTATGACTATAAAGTATACATAACACCTACTTTTATAGGTCATTTACAATGATCTTTGCAATTGCAGTCAGATTTTTCGTCCTATAAGTGACATGCTGTAGCCACAGAACTAAGCCAGGGGGACAGGGGTGTCCACCATCCAGGCGGCTGCTCCATTTCTTTGCCGTCTACCTGGGACCTTCATCCTGAGCCGTTCCCGGGGGATTATTTCTGACCCAGTGCCTGCCACAGCCCTCAGGCGTCACACAGCCGGCCTTCTGGGAGCCCGCGCTATCTACCCGGTGGCTTCTGCGACAGGCTTCTGGCTTCCTCCCCCTGGGACAGGCCTTAGGCCCTTTCCCGTCTCCTCCCGTTTGCCCTGCGCTTGCCTTCACCCCACGCAAGGCTGTATTGTCCCCCCTCATACAGCCTCTACACTCACTTTGACCTCGATGACCTTGAAGCCCCGCATCTCTTTCGGGGACCCTAGTCCTGCACTGACATCTCCCCACGCAGAGGCCCGTTTATCACGCTGAAGGCCTCTGCTGCTCAGAGCCTGCGGTGGCTCCCGCCTCCCTAGTCCCCGCGCACCAGGCAGATCAGGAAACCTGTGGACACAGCCAGGCG